GCAATCAGGCAGGCAGGCAGAGGCATTTAGGGGTGATCTGGCAGACAGGCAGATGAACAGTTAGGAGCCAGCGGACCCAGATTGAGAGAGGGATCCCCAATTGGAGAGGTGCAGGCTGGGCTGAGGGATTTCATGCACTGGTTCTCTAGTGTTTATGATTTTAAAACCACATATAATCAGATGTTCAATTATCTCCTTAGGAAAGACAAGGAACTCTACACTCAGAGCAGCATTTTGCACATGTTGGATAGAAATAAGTGAATCAAGTCCCAGACAGAGAGGTTCTATAACTGCAAAGACCTGTTCGACCTGACTCACCTGCAAGGAGAGAGTGTGACCAGATGGTGGAAGATATGAATTCTAGGGAGCAGGAGACCTACCAGCCCGTGCACGTGATCAACATGGACATCCAGGACAACCACGAGGAGGCCACGCTGAGGGCCTTCCTCATCTGCGAGCTCTGCCAGTGCATCCAGCACACGGAGGAAATGGAAAACAAGATGGAGGAGCTTCTGCAGGAGTTCAAGAAGAGAGGCTTCACCTTTCAACACATCGTCTGCTTCTACTGAGCCAGCAGCCTCCCAAAGCAGCCTCTTGCACTGCCTATTAATACTGTTCTTTCCCATTCTTGCTTTGACCCTGAGGGCTGCTGCCCACAGACGGCCACCCTGAGCTGTATATGGTTTGGCCCCACAATTGTCAAGTTCGGTGTCCCATTGTAGTTACCAGTGTGATATTAAAGTATTTTTCTTTAAGCAAAGGGAAAAAAGAGAGAGAGAGAGATTAGAGCAGAAATAAATATCATAGAGACTAAAAAATAAAATAAAATAATAAATAAATAAATAAATAAATAAATAAATAAATAAATAAATAAAACCAAGAGCTGGTTCTTTGAAAGGATAAATAAGGTTGATGAACCATTAACCATACTCATCAAGAAACAAAGAGAGCCCTACCCGATTTGGCTCAGTGGATAGAGTATCGGCCTGAAGACTGAAAGGTCCCAGGTTTGATGCCGGTCAAGGGCGTATGCCTGGGTTGCAGGCTCAATCCCCAGTGTTGGGTTGCAGGAGGCAACCGATCACTGATTCTCTCCCATCATTGATGTTTCTCTTTCTCTCCCTCTCTCCATTTTTCTTTGAAATCAATATAAATATATATATATTATATATATGTATATATATATATTTTTAAAAATGAAACAAAGAGAGGACTAAAATAAATAAAATCAGAAATGAAAGTGGAAAAGTAACCACTGGCACCACAGAAATGCATAGGATTGTAAGAAAATACTATGAACAACTATATGTCAACAATCTGGAAAACCTGGATAAAATGAACAAATTCCTAGAAAAATACAATCTCCAAAAATTCAATCAGAAATAATCAGAAAACCTGAATAGACCAATAACAACTGAGGGAATAGAAGCAGAAATAAAAAAACAAACAAACCTCCCAGCAAGTAAAAGCCTAGTCTGGACAGCTTCACAGGGGAGTTGTACCAAACATTCAAAGAGAACTAACACCAATGCTCCTCAAACTAATCCAAAAATTCCAAGAGGAAGGAACACTTCCAAATTCTTTTTATGAGGCAAGCATTATCCTAATTCCCAAACCAGATAAAGACACTACAAAGAAAGAGAATTACAGGCCAATATCCCTGATGCTAAAATCCTCAACAAAATACTAGCAAATCAGATCCAGCAATATATTAAAAAGATCATACACCGTGAACAAGTGGGATTTATTTCAGGGGTGCAAGGCTGATATAATATTCACAAATCAATAAATGTGATACATCACATAAACAAATTGAAAGACAAAAATCACAAGACCATATCAATAGATGCAAAAAAGGCATTTGACAAAATCCGACACTCATTTTTTATTTTAAAAAAAAGTCTCAGCAAAGTGAGGATGGAGGGAGCATATCTCAACATGATAAAGGCCATATATGACAAACCCACAGTGAACATAAGGAAGACAAACAGTTCATTTGAAAAATGAGCATAGGACCTAAATAGACACTAAAAAAGAAGGAATCTTATCCTTTGATTCAACATGGAGGGATCTGAAGAGTATAGGAGACATAGGAGTCAAAGAAAGACAAATATCACATGGCCTCACTCATATGTGGAATCTAATGAATAAAAAACAAAACAAAACAAAACAAAACCTGATGAACAAAATAGTTCCAGAGACATAGAAGCATAGAACAGCATGTGGAATCTCAAAGAGAAGGGGAAGGAGGGTGGGACATGATCAACCAAAGAACTTGTATGCATATATGCATAAGCCATGGACACAGACAATTGGGTGATGAAGGCCTCAGGGGAGGGTGGGGGTAGGCTAGAAGGAGTCAATGGGGGGGGGGGAGGGGAGAAGGGCATATGTAATACTTTCAACCATAAAGATTTTTTAAAAAAAGAATACCTACATATGATTCTTCTAATATTAAGTTTATAAAGTGCAAGCTAATCTCTAGTGACAAACAGCAGATTAGTATTTCTGCTTCATCTTCTCATTATAACCTTTTTTTTTCATTGTAAGTCTTTATAATCTGATGTGTATTGTACACATATTGTGCATCTTAATTGGGACCCTAGATTTTCTCCAGAAATATTTGACTTGTATTTAGATTTCATGAGGCTTACAATTGAAAAAGTAGATTCACACATCCAGGTCTTTCCAAATGTACTTTAGAATTTTTCCAATTACTAAACTGAGTATCAATAGAGTACCAATATGACTAGTATTTTTTTTTTTTTTTAGTAAAAGCTGAGTGTCCTTTCAGCATATTCTTTTCTTTTAAAATAGATTTTATTGATTTTTCACAGAGAGGAAGAGAGAGGGATAGAGAGCTAGAAACATCGATGAGAGAGAATCACTGATAAGCTGCCTCTTGCACACCCCCTATTGGGGATGTGCCCGCAACCAAGGTATATGCCCTTGACCAGAATTGAACCCGGGACCTTTCAGTTCACAGGCCGACGCTCTATCCACTGAGCCAAATCGGTCCCAGCATGACTAGTATTAATACTAGCTACATTTTAAGGGCTAATAGCTACATGAGGCAAGTGGCCATTGTTGGATCTGTGCCAACAGGAGCCAGGCCAGGAGATACTGGGTGAGTCTAAGGCATTCCATTACTTTCTCTCACAGCAGGCTGAAACCAGCGTGTGGATGTCAGCCCCTCGGGAGCATTCATGTTCTTTTATGTAGGGACAGGGTCAGGCTTGCACCAGCCAGCTGGGCTAGCTGCCTGAACAACAGGACGTCCTTGGAAGATAGCAGGATGTCTGGTGAGCACACAACTCAGGCAGAGCAGAGCAGAGCGCCTGAGTCAGCTGGGGAGTGTAGCTTACCTTTCTGCAGGTGCAGGCTGTTTGCTTCAAGCTATGGAGAAAAACAGACAGTTATAACAATATATTTCAGAAAATATGTGGAAACAGGAGAGGCCAGGGGTAGTACTAATGTATCCTAACAGCCATCATATTGGATAATGCAGCTCTAACCTGCTGTGTGACTTCGGGTAAAACTCTCAACTTCTCTGTGCTTCACTCTCCCCATCTGAACGTGGGATGAAAAAATACCTACTTCAAAGGATAATGCTTCTCATATCTATCAGTGATTCCTGGGGCTGGAACGAGGACCTAAGCAGAGTGCCAAATCACACAGCACCACAGGAGCCAGGACACGAGTCTGGAACATCCATGGTGGCAGTTCTCCAAGGTTAAGAAAGTGCAAGTTCCACCCCTGAATTCAAGAGGTCAGGATTGTCTGTCCCCTGCTCCTGGGTCAAAGGTGTATGATTCAACTGCCAGGGCCAGGTCCCTGGGTCTAACAAGGGGTTTGCCTAACATTGCATGAAAGATTCTGCCTCATCTCCCCCATCTCCTTTTAGAGGAAAGACACAGAGAGGTGGAAAGCCAGGCTGAGACATGGCAGATGCACATGGACACACTCATTCACATACCTAGCAAGTAGGGACCGCGCCTGCCAGAGGCTCAGAGCAATGATAGAGAGGACATCAGCCCAGTGGACATCAATCAAATTAGACCAGGTGTCTGCACTTCTGGAGCTCATAGTCTAAAGGAGGAAACAGAGTCACTGAGACAGAGATAATGAGACAGGCATATTATCAGAGAGGATCCTAGAAACATCTCCCAAGTGAACACAGAGATGGAGAAAGAAAGAGAACTGCTGCACTTGTCAGAGCAATCAGAGATCCAGGGGTCCCAAATGTCCCCTCAGCCAGGTCTCAGTTCCCCTGTTCTTTTCCACCTGCCCCTCCACCTCAGAGTCTCACTAGTTCTGTGTCTCTCTCATCATTCCCATCTGTAGCTGTTACAGAAAGGAGAGCGAAGGAAGAGGTCTGGAGATAGACACTGAGCACCTAAAGGCCCTACAAACACAGGGATAAGAAGGTGCACAGACACATAAGCACACACAGGGACACACACCACCAGCACCATGCAAACACCTCTTCACATATGAACCCATAGAAATACATGTAAGCCTGTGCACATGCAAAATAGTTCATAAGAACATGCAGACTCGTACACAAAACACACCCTCACATGCACATCAATACAGATACCCTTTCACATAAAAAAAATCATACAAGTACACACAGATGCAAGCAGACATGAGCAGACATGCAAGCATAAACACACAAACAAGGGCACAAATAGACAGTGCACACTCACCAGTACCCACAAAATAAACACACGTGAGCTCTCACAAGCACTCATGCTGACCTTTGTAACCACCGTCATGTCTCTGCCAGCACCTGGGGAGCGGTTGCTGATGTCGGGAGAAAGCAAGCACTGGACTGGAAATATGGGCCCATTAGAACCTCTTTCAAGTTCATGCTCCCAGGCGATGACAGAGGGGAGGCGGGGAATGGATGAAGTTACATAACTGGGTGGGGAGGCAGGATCAGGATAAAAGGCCAGAGCTGGGACTGCAGTGAACTGGAAGGCAGTCAGATTGGGACCATGGAGCTCAGTGTCCTCCTCCTCCTTGCTCTCCTCACAGGACTGGTGATTCTCCTGGCCAGGGGCCACCCAAAGGCACGTGGCCACCTTCCTCCAGGCCCCCGTCCCCTGCCCGTCTTCGGGAACCTTCTGCAGATGGACAGAGGAGGCCTACTCAAATCCTTCCAGAGGGTGAGATGCAGGTGGACGGGTTGGAGAGGGGCTTCCCTCACTTACCAGAGGGAGTAAGGGTCCTTCCAGGCTCAGGGGTGGGGAGTGTGAGGTTGGTGAGTAAGAGGCAGGCAGCTGAAGCACAGTAGATCATCTTGTGCACTGGGAATTGTGTGCCACTATCTCTGGAGTGGGCAAGTGGGGATTATGAGCCATGGATATAGCATTTCACATTTTGTGTCACCTTCTGCCAAGTTCTTGGGTGCCTACCTCTCCTACCCCTCCACCATGAGAGAGGAAAAGGGGGCAGTGTCATTAGTCAAATCGGTTTCTCCTCTGTCAAAAGAAAAGGAGAGACTGGTCCATATCAGCACCAGGACAGGGGAGGAGGAAGGGAGCAGGAGGCCACGCACAGAGTGCTTACCAATAATGCACGAGGATGTGCTATATCTAACAGCTGACACTATGGAAGATGTACTGGGCTCTGCATCACTGCTTCCCAGCCATGATTTTGTGTCTTGTCATCTATTCAGTTATTAGTAATGTAATTTACCCCATGAACCCACCTCCCAATGGGAGAACAGGAGCACTGACAGTAACTTCCAGCTGCCTCCTGCCTTACAGTCCGGTCTCCTGCTGTGTCCCCCTACCCACACCCTCCCTCTTCACGGTGATCACACTCCTGAATCTTGGGCTTGTCGTTACCGTTGCTTTTAAAAGAGAGAGTTTGATCACATAATGTGGAAACCCCAAGTATGTGTGATTTAGTTCTCATTGTCTTCAATGTACCACTGGGGACCATGCTTTCCCATAAATTCCTGGACTGAGTTTCTTCATTCAGAATGATGTGGCTGGGGTTTGCCTGTCTTGTGGTGAGAACTCACCAGGTCTCACTTACAACAATCCTGTGGGCTAGGTGAGGTGCTAACCCCATCTTAGCGACGAAGACAGTGAGGCTTAGCCTGGGGAAGCCTGTCCACAGCTACACAGCTGGGCTTCACAGAGGGGAAGCTTGGGTCCAGCAGGGAGGGCCCTCATCTTAGTGCCCTCAGAGACTGAAACTGCCTGACAATAAATTTCTTGAGAATCTCATTAAACCTTTAGGCTTCCTCCCAATATCCACACACATCATTGCAAACAGTTTGAGAGTTTCAGATCCCCGAAGCTCTTACATGGACCTTCCAAGGATCCTTTAGGTGTTCAGCATCCTCGTGAAGGGGGGCAGGAGAGGGAGGGAGAGAGAGAGAGAGAGAGAGAGAGAGAGAGAGAGAGAGAGAGAGAGAGAGAGAGAATGAGCTAGTGGGTGCCATGATGGAAGGGGTTGGGGAAGCTGGCACTGCTCCTCCTTTCTTCCCCTACACGTGCCCAAGTCCTTCTTGAGTCAAGCTTGGTCTCATGTTCCAAATTCAACTGTTACTCGTCTAGTCTCAGTTTCCTCTTCTGTAAAACAATATAGTGACAGTAAAAATGTGTCCCTCATAAAATGGTGAGGATGAGGTGGGGTATTGCATAGAGCCTGGTGTATAGTCAATGCTCATTAAATGGCAGCTCCTTTGATCCACTCATTCATTTATCCACTCATTAAATAGTAGATTATTGGGCACTTTCTGAGTGTTGGGGAATGTTCTAGGTGAAGCATTGGACAGAGCATACAAACAAGGAAATAAACATATAAGGTACACAAGAGCTATGATTAAAACTACTTTAGATTGAGTTGGGAGGAAAAGGCTCAATCCTGCTTTGTTTCTGGGCAGAGACACAGAAAGATGCAGGAACAGGCATAAGAGAGAGGCAGGTGCAAGATCCCTGAAGAATGAGCAAGTTCAGCATCTAGAGGGACAACGTGGAGATGAGATCTGAATGAGGAATGGGGCCAGTGGGAAAAGAAGCAGAGGGATGATGAGACTATGTGGAGCATGGTGGAGACTTCAGCTTTTATTCTCAATGAGGTGGGAGCACTGGAGGATTTGGAGCAGGTCAGTGATATTAATTTACATTTTAATAGGATTACTCTGGCATCAGGGTAGAGGGATAGGTGATGAAACGATTGTAGATGGGAAAAGAGTGGGAGTAGAGAGACCAGTGAGGAGGTTTTGCAAAGATCAGTGTGAGAAACGTTTCATAAAAATCACAAAAACTTAAACTTTTATGATTGTAAGTCAACTTAAAAAAAAAATATATATATATATATATATTTCAGGGTGCCAGTTAATTACCAATCTATATGTGTTTTAATGGTTTAACACTGTTGGTGTGGATATGCTTGGCAGCTCCGAGACAAATACGGGGATGTCTTCACCGTGTACCTGGGGTCTAGGCCTGTGGTCATACTATGGGGGACAGAGGCCATCCGGGAGGCCCTCGTGGACCAAGCTGAGGCCTTTTCTGGCCGGGCGCAAATCGCTGTTATTGATCAAGTCTTTCAAGGATATGGTAAGGGCCTGAAAGGCACTGGGGGACGGGAGTTGGGAGTTGGGTGGACAGGGAATGGAGGATGGGGTTTGCCAGGTGAATCTGGTAAGGCAGAATAGGGGTGGGGTGGAGAGGAACCCAGAATCTCCTTCCAACTTCCTCTGCAACCCATGCCTGTCTCCACAGGTGTGGTGTTTGCCAACGGGGAACGTTGGAAGGCTCTCCGGCGATTTTCTCTGGCCACCATGAGGGACTTCGGGATGGGCAAGCGGAGTGTGGAGGAGCGGATTCAGGAGGAGGCACAGTATCTGGTGGAGGAGCTTCGGAAATCCCAAGGTGAACCTGGGAGATGGTAAAGAAAGACAGATGGTGTAATAGAGAGGACCAAGGTACACGACAACAGAAAGGCAGAGAAAGAGAAATAGAGATAAAAACAGAGCTAGATAGACCATCAGACAGAGGGACAGGGACACAGGAAGAGAAACGGAGATGGATGAAGATGACAAGGAGAGGGACAAGGGGACCAGAAGAGATGTGGGATGTATACTAATTCAAAGACACACACACACACACACACACACACACACACACACACACACACACAATATTTTCATTGGTTTCAAGAGAGAAAGGGACAGGAGAAGAAGGGAGAGGGAGAGAGAGAAAGAGAAAGAATCATTGATTGGCTATCATCGGCACGCCCTCTATTGGGGATTGAGCCTGAAACCTGGGCATGTGTCCTGATTAGGAATTGAACTATTACCTCCTGGTTCATAGGTCAATACTCAACCACTGAACAACATCAGCCAGGCTAAATACTTAGATATTAAGCCTTTTCTGGCTATTTATTTGTGTTCAAGGAAGCCAATTCATGGATTAATTGTATCTATCAAAGGCAAAACAGGACTTAAATAAGGGAAAGCAAAGAGAGAAAAGGAAGAACTTCAGACATTGGAAAACAATGGACTGTTTTCCTTTCCTTTTCTTTTTTAAAAATATATTTTATTGACTTTTTTTTTACAGAGAGGAAGAGAGACAGACAGAGAGCTAGAAACATTGATGAGAGAAAAACATAGATTCAGCTGCCTCCTGCACACTCCCCTCTGGGGATGTGCCTGCAACCAAGGCATATGCCCTCGATTGGAATCGAACCTGGGACCCCTTAGTCCACAGAACAATGCTTCATCCACTGAGCCAAACCAGTTAGGGCTGTTTTCCTTTTTTTTAGTGAACTGCTGACAAACTGGCAGTGAGGGCAGTGGGGTTTTCTGCTCTGCAGCTGGATGGGCTATCAGAGAAGCACTTCCAGTTGTTTTTAGATTCTCCCTAAAACTGATTTTTATAAGATATAAAGGTAACAGGGTCCTTTCTCAAGAGATTGAAAGATAGCATAGAGGTTTGGGAAAAGACGCAGAGGCAGAGACACAGGAACAATAAAAGAAAAGAGACAGAGGGACTAAGAGAAAGACATGAGGAAACAGACTGAGGCAGACAGAGAAGGTGAAAGAGACAGAGATGGAGGGACCAAGTCAAAGAGAGACACACAGGCAGAGTGAGTGGAAGAGACTCCTTGAGGCAAAAAGAAAAAGGCAGAGAAAGTGAGAGAGACAGACAGGCTTAGTAAAGGGTCTGTAGAGGAACAAGAGAAGATGGACAGGTGAGACTCATAGAGAAGATGGCACCAACCTGATGGCCTGACGATCTGTGATTTGTCCTTGGTGGGCTCACAGCTAGGTTAGCCTCCCCAGGACTAGCCTAGCGTTTGCAGACATCAGTTAACAAGTGTAGAACAATTTCATGAGGCCTAGAGACCCTTAGAGATGAACAAAGGAAGTAAGGGGAGAGGCAGAAAGGGGCAGGGAGAACAGAGCTTTTAAATTTGTACATGCAATTGATTGAACACCTGCATTGCACTCCCTCTGGCCCTGAGACTTAATTCTACCTGTTCCCCCAGTGAGAACTGGGGCTGAGAGGGGACCAACCACACAGCCTCTGTAGCTGGGCTGCCTAGGTCTGAATCCTGGCCCCAGTGATGAGTCGCTGGATAACCCTGGTCAAATTACTTAACTTCTCTGTTTGCCCGTCTATGAAATGGAGATAATAACAGAACTACATCTTCCTTATAGGAGGTGAGAATTATATAAAATAGCACTGGCTGATGCTCAATGGCTAGAGCATCGGCTCTCACTCATACTGCAGGATCTCAGGTTCCATTCCTGGTCAAGTTCCATTCCTGGTCTCAGGTTCCATTCCATACCTCGGTTGCAGGGCATGTGGGAGGCAACCAATCAATGTGCTCTCTCACAAGGATGTTCCTCTCCCCCGCCCCCCTTCTTCATCCCTTCCACTCTCTATAAAATAAAATCAATGGAAAAAACATCCTAAGGTGACAATAAAAGTAATAAAATAAAATAATTGACTAGGGCCTGGCGTGTCATATGGGCCAGTGAGTGATAATTGTTATTTCTATTTTCTTTATCATTATTGAGCAATGAAAGACAGTTACACAAAGATGGGGTGGCTGCCTAGTGTTCCCCAGATATTTGAGTCTGTGTTCCTTGACCTGCCACTTCCTCCTCCTAGGAGCCCTCCAGGACCCCACTTTCATCTTCCACTCCATCACTTCCAACATCATCTGCTCCATTGTCTTTGGAAAACGCTTTGCCTACAGAGACCCCGATTTTCTGAGGCTTCTGGACATGTTCTACCAGTCCTTTGCACTCATCAGCTCCTTCTCCAGCCAGGTCAGGGAGGGGGTGAGGGAGGGTGGGGAGGAGGTGGACATCCAGGAAAGGGGAAAGGGGTAATCTGCTTTGGGAACCCAAAAATGCAGCTTGGATGTGCAGGAAAACAGGGAGAGACAGGGCCACAGACACTTGGAGAGAGAAAGAGATGCGAAATAAGGACAAAGAGACAAAGAGAGAAAGAGGAGTAATGGAGGAGGCAGAAACAGAAAGTCAGAGAATTAGAGGGTGGGAAAAGAGAGAAGAAAGAGAAAACGAGACAAGAAAGAGCAAAGATAAAGAGATCTTGAGAGGCAGAGTTGATGAGGGAGAGAGAGAGAGAGAGAGAGAGAGAGAGAGAGAGAGAGAGAGAGAGAGAGAGAGAGAGAGAGAGAGAGAGAATAAGAGATCCCCTCTACCAGAGGTTTTAGGGCCCAGGAGGGTTGTCTTCTGACCCACTAGCTCAGCCCCAGAAGAGCCTTACAGCCCCATTGTCTTCCACAGGTGTTTGAGCTCTACTCTGGCTTCTTGAAGTACTTTCCTGGCGCACACAGGCAAATCTACAGAAACCTGCAGGAAGTCAAAGACTTCATTGGCCACAGCGTGGAGAAGCACAGGGAGACCCTGGACCCCAATGCCCCCCGGGACTTCATTGATACCTACCTGCTCCGCATGGACAAAGTGGGGTTTGAGAGAGGGGAATGAAAGGGGAGGGGAGGGAGGAAAAGATGAGGGGCAGTGAAAAGAAGGGAGGGGAAATAAGGAAGATAGAAGAACAGAGGATGCAGAGGGGATATTAGGAAAAGGTAGGAGGGATGAAAGAAGGAGAAACTAGGGAAGAGGCAGAGAGGAATGGATAGAGAGAGGGAGGGAAGAAAAGAGAGGATGAGAGGGAGAGAGAGAGAGAGAGAGAGAGAGAGAGAGAGAGAGAGAGAGAGAGAGAGAGAGAGAGAGAGAGAAATATCAGAGAAATAAAGGTCAAGGGACAAAAAATAGGGCAATAGATGAAAAGACCCACAGAGGCAGAAAGAGGCTGGGAGAGAAAGTGAGACAAGCACACCAAAGAGATGTTGCCATCTATTGAAACAGAGCCATAGTAAAAAGAGGCAGAGATAGGGATATATGGGTGGACATGAAGAGGACAGAGAAAAGTAAAATGGACCAGATGATGTGAGAGACCCAGAAAGAGGTGGGGGGACCCCGATAAGTACATGCAGCAAGGTTCCAGCCTCCCCTGATTCCAATGAACCCGCCCCTCTGGACCCAGGAGAAGTCTCAACCAAACAGCGAGTTCCACCACCAGAACCTCCTCAACACCGCGCTCTCTCTCTTCTTTGCGGGCACGGAGACCACCAGCACCACTCTCCGCTATGGATTCCTGCTAATGCTCAAATATCCCCACATCACAGGTAGGCAGGGTGGGGGCAGCCAATCTGGGTAGTCCTCTGATCCCTTTTCGGCTGCAGAAGTGCGGTAGAGGTTCTGCCTAAATGAGAGAGGCAGCACTTCCCTCTGAAATCAGGAACACTGCAGGTTTGAATGAGCTGCCAACTAAGCCAGCCTTGTTGGGTGGATGGGTGAAGAATCTGTCAATCTGTTCTCCTGTTTTCAGTGATCTCTTAAAAATTCACTCATCCATCCACACATCCATCTATCTGTCTGTGCTTTAACTGGTCTGTATGCTCAGATTCCTTTATCTATGCTCTGCCCAAGAACGTACACTTCCATTCTTTATTTGGATTAATCTATTTACCTGTTGATCCTTTGAAACAAGGGTAATTGAATGAACAATGTGTCGTGATTCGTTGGCTCACTCATTCATGCATGCATGCATCCATCTGTCCTTCTATGAACTAGGTTTCATTCCTTAACACTTCTATCAGTCAGTCTTCCAATTCATTCTTAACTCTTCTACCCCTTCAATTTATTAATTGCACAATTAATTCACTGATTCATCTTTCATTTATTCATCTGTCATCAAACCATCATTCATTTATTACTTTTCCTACTAATTTATTCATTCACTTATTCCTTCATAAATCTAGCCATCCATTTATTCAGGTAATTTATTGGTTGATTAGGTTTATTTATTTATTTGTCTATTGGTAATTACTCATCTATTGATTGATAAGTAAATACATGCATCCATTAAATACTGTTCTTCCATCCATAAGTCTTTTTATTTATGAATTGGTTGATTGATATATTCATTTATTTACCCAATTATTCATGGGTTAATCTATTGATCTATTTCACTGTTATATTCCTGAGGACCTAGCATAGTACCTCATTTATAATACACACAATAAATATTAGTTCATTTTCTTCTCATCTTAGAGAAGAAAATTTGACAAGTGCATAGGCTGGAGTACTCAATCTGATATGTGATTTGTGTGTGTGTGTGTGTGTGTGTGCTCACACACATGTGCATGTGTGTTTCCATGTGCATGTGGGGGAAAGAACATTCATTAGATTTCAAAAAGTGAGAATTCTTTGCTCCCCCACCCCAAGCTGATTGTTTTGAGGAGTGTCAATGATTAAACACTTTACTGTAAGTTTAAAAAATTATTATTATTGATTCAGAGAAGAAAGGAGAGGGAGAGAGAGATAGAAACATCAATGATGAGAGAGAATCATTGATTGGCTGCCTTCTGCACATCCCCTACTGGGGTATGAGCCTGCAATGCAGGCATGTGTCCTTGACAGGAATTAAACCAGCTTCAGTCCGTAGGCCAATGCTCTATCCACTGAGCCAAATCAGCTAGGGCCTATAAGTGTTCACTGGCCACTGGCCAATAGAAAGCAGTGTCTCGACTGAAATGTCCATTATTATTATTATTATTATTATTATTATTAAATACACTTTTATTGATTTCAGAGAGGAAGGGAGAGGGAGATAGAAACATCAGTGAAAAAGAATTATTGATTGACTGCCTCCTACACTGCACACCTCTCACTGGGGATTGAGCCTGCAACTGAGCATATGCTCTAATCAGGAATTGAACCATGAACCCCTGGTTCATAGGTCAATGCTCAACCACTGAGTTATGCCAGGTGGGCTGAAATGCTCCTTAAAAAAAAAGGTTTACTCTTCTATGCAGAGAAAGTCCACAAGGAGATTGATCAAGTGATTGGCTCACATCGCCCTCCAGCCCTTGATGACCGGGTCAAAATGCCATACACTGAAGCAGTCATCCACGAGATTCAGAGATTCGGAGACCTGATCCCTATTGGTGTGCCTCACAAGGTCATCAAAGACACTAACTTCCGAGGGTACATCATCCCAAAGGTGAGGCCAGCCAGGCAACCACATCTCTCCTGTGTGGGATCCTGCTTTCTCTTAATCTCCAAACTTGACCTCTTGTTTTATCACTGGGGCTTCTTGTTTCAAGTTGTGTTTCGGGGTGGGGTGGGGAAGGGAATGGCATTATTATTATTTTTTTATCTTGTGATCATTCCTCAGAACACTGAAGTATATCCCATCCTGCACTCTGCTCTCTTTGACTCACGTTACTTTGACACACCAGACACCTTCAACCCTAACCACTTTCTGGATGCCAATGGGGCACTTACGAAGAATGAAGCTTTTATGCCCTTCTCTGTAGGTAAGCTGGATCTATACTCAGAGGTGTATAGATCCTGCCCTTCTATTTATATAAAAGCCTAAGACACCAAAGTGCAGACGTCTTCACCTCCTTGAGACATCAAGGAGAAGCTTTTCATTAAGAAGTTAGTACATTGCCAGCTGCTTTACCTTCATTATGCCATCCCACATCTCCTAGAAGAGGTTTAAAAGGTGAGATCACAGCCCAGTAGCACACCTTGGAATGCTGGACCTTGGTAAGATATGTAAACCTCCCTATACCTCGGTATAAGATATCTTTTGAGCGGCATACTCTGAGCCCAGTGCTTTATTGGGGACTGAAGATAATGCATCAGAAAAATCACATAGACGGAGAAACAGTATCTGTCAGGATGTGAAGACAGAAACAAAACAAAATACCTGCCATGGGCAGAAAGAAGGACAAGCTTAGCCAAAGAGGTGTTAGAGACAAATGTCTCCTGAAGGGTCCAAAGGATAGCCAAAGGGTGGAAGGACAGTGTGGGAGGGAGATAACAGGCTCTTCTAGAATGAAGTGGGTCATGTAGCCAGTTACAGAAGAGGAACCATGCGAGAGCCCTGCTCTGCAGATTTTTGCACATGTGTCCTAACTTCTAGGTGTGCCCAAAATGTGAACCCTTCCCCAGATACCTCCACACAGGCACAATGTCCAACGACTTGAAAGGTTTAGGAAATGCCTGGAAACCCAATCATTGAAATGGCCTTTCCAAAGTGGTCAGCTTGCTGATTAGGAACCAATAAAGTAATGGAGGAGACTCTCAGTGTCTGCCTGACCCTTTGCCCTCATTTCTCTCCAAGCCAGTGGTTTATAACCTACTAGAGGCCCAGTGCATAAAATTTGTGCATGGGGAGGGGTAGGGGAGGGTCCCCTCAGCCTAGTATGCACCCTCTTCAATCTGGGACCCCTGGCTCCTAACTGCTCACCTGTGATTGAGCGTTGACCTATGAACCAGGAGATCGTGTTTTGATTCCTGGTCAGAGCACATGCCCAGGTTGTGGACTTGATCCCAGCAGGGCCGTGCAGGAGGCAGCTGATCAATGATTTTCTCTCATCATTTATGTTTCTAACGCCTTCTCCTTCTCACTTCCTCTATTTGAAATCAATAAAAATATATTTCACACACACACACACACACCAAAAAAGAATATACATCCACACCAGATCCACATTGTTGATCTTCTGTGCCCACAGGGAAGCGCATTTGTCTTGGCGAAGGTATTGCCCGTGCGGAATTATTCCTCTTCTTCACCACCATCCTCCAGAATTTCTCCGTGGCCAGTCCCGTGGCCCCTGAGGACATTGACCTCACACCCCGGGAGTGTGGAGTGGGCAAGCTGCCCCCAATATACCAGATCCAATTCCTGTCCCGCTGAGGGGGTTGAAGGAAGGAGATGAAAGGATCCCAGGGTCATGAAGTAATCCCATCTCGACAGGGATGTTGCCTGACTCTACCCATGTTCTGCATCTGAGAGATCTGCTACAAGCCAGTCTCCTTCTTCCTCTTTGGTTGCCATCTCCACGAGAAAGTCCATTCTGCAGTCTGCCTCCTTCCATCATGCTGCAGTTCTCCTAAAGACTCAATGAGGTGTTCTCCTTTCCTCTGTTAATAGAATTCCAGAAGTGGTGTATATCTAGACATTGGAGGCTGAAAGGGAACACTCAGCTGAGGATCTCTCCGCAGTTTGCCTCGTAGGCCACTGCTTACCCTGAGTGACTTCTCCCTTTCTTAGAACAAACACAGCCTCCATTTAACAACCCCTTGTGCTCCATGATCTGTACATGCATGAACTTGCTTGAATACTGTTCCCAGTAGCCCCTTGTGGTGGGAACAACAATTATGTCCATTGTACAGATGAGTACAAAGAAGCAGGGCAATGGCATCAGTGTCTGAGGTCATATGGTGAGTGAGTGCAAGCGCAAGATTCACACTCAGTCTCTGTGGCTCTAGAACTCAAACTTTTTTTTTTTAATCAAAGCTTCTCCCACCCATATATTTTTAAATTAATCTGAAATTCAGAGACAAAAAGAATCAGCCATTTTCACTAGTGTAATTTAGTGCTTTCTGGATTTGCCTCTTCTGCATAACTCATATAATGAAATGACATAAGTGGCCTTTTGTGATAGGCCACTTAGCATGATATTTTTTAGGTTCACCCACATGGTAGACTGTGGCTGTACCCTGCCATTGTCCTGCTGCCTCCTCATTTTCCCTTTCCTTTTCAATATAAAAGCACCTCCTCAGCCCAGGGCCTCCTGATCTGTGTGGTTATAAACTGGTGCCTTGGATTCCCCAATATGCCTCTTCGAATCCACTGAGACTCAAATAAACATCCAAAACCTGACACCTCCAGGTCAGGTGGTGATCCATTTATTTTTATGTGTGAGCATTTATTTTTAGGTCACTAGAAATATTTCCAGAAAGTGAATACTTTTACTTCACCTCAATGCCAGCTCCATGAAGGCAAACCCATTGTCTTGTTCATCACAGTTCTCTCAGCACAAATAACCCTGTGTGTCATATGATAGGTGTTAAAAATATTTGCTCAGAAATGAATGAATGGCCGAGACCGGTTTGGCTCAATGGATAGAGCGTTGGCTTGGGGACTGAAGGGACCTGGGTTCGATTCCGGTCAGGGGCATGTACCTTGGTTGTGGGCATATCCCCAGTGGGGGGTGTGCAAGAGGCAGCTGATCGATGACTCTCTCATCGATGTTTCTAACTCTCTATCTCTCTCCCTTCCTCTCTGTACAAAATCAATAAAATATTTATATATTTTTTTAAAAAGTTAAAAAAAAAGAAATGAATGAATGAATGAATGAATGGCTAGCTCAGGCAATCCTCCAAAGTACCAACATGGAGCTAATTTCCCCCATCAGACCACATGTCCTCCAATCTCACTTTGTTCTGATGCTTTGAATATATCCCTTTGAATATATTGGAGCACAAGATGGTCCAATTTTGGGGACCTTCCAGCTATACTCAAACCCTCATATGCAATGCTACCCTCTGACAAAAATGGGCTGAGAGCCACACGTGCAATGCAAAAACCATGGAACAGCCTTCACCTGAATTTGAACCTAGTCAGTTTGAACCTAGAGCTCAGACCTTATCACCTGTTCCACCAGCTGGCATACCACCCTTTCTTGAGGGAGGTGCTCTCCATTCAAGGGCAAAACCTACCTTTTAAGAGGCATTCTGGACTGGCCTGCTTCTCATCATCCATATAGGCCTCTTGCACCTCCTAGGGTCACCTCCCTCCTGGATCCTAGCCTCTGCCCTTCCTAGGGAACAGCACCTCCTAGGCCACCTCCCTCCTGGATCCTAGCCTCTGCCCTTCCTAGGGAACATTTTGCAAATAGACTACAAGTTCCTTCTCAAGTTCTTCCAGGCAGTGATATGCGGAGGGGAAGAAAGGGTGGACAGGAGGAGCTCAAGGCAGCAAGGCAATTGTGGGTCAGTTTTAGGATGGGACTTCTCAGACCATCCTAGGAGTTTGTTTATTTCAGCCACAATCTGGCCAGTATGCTCACTAGAGACGCTTCAGGATAATTCATATAATAAAATCACATATGTGGCCTTCTTTCACTTAGCATGATATTTTTGAGGTTCATCCACATTGTAGACTCTAGTTGTGCCCTTCCACTGTCCTGCTGCCTCCTAATTTTACTGTCTTTCCCTTTCCTTTTCAATATAAAAGGGCCTCCTCAACCCAGGGCCTCCTCAGCCCAGGGCCTCCTGATCTGTGTGGTTATAAACTGGTGCCTTGGATTCCCCAACATACATGAATAGGAATGTAGGCAAGGGAGACAGGAGGGAGAAGTTCTGACAGACTGGAGACTCTGAGCTGTGGTCCTCATTTGGGTGGAACTAGAGCTCAGATGTGAGGAGCCTCTGCAATTCCTCAAATAGAAGCTGGGAGGATTTGGAAAAGCCGAGAGAGGAGGACACTTGGGGTGAGGGCTGCATGGGAGGATTGGGGGCTATGGAATGCAAGTGTGTCTTCTTCCCAATGGGGCTGCAGCCAGCCAGGTGTAGGCTACACTAGAAGTATGATGTGGGTGTGAAGATAGAGACCCTTTTCTTGAGTTAGGGAGGGAGATCTTGGCCCTGCACACACAGCTGTGGGCTACATATGGTGATGTCTTCATGGTCTACCTGGGGCCTCGGCCTGTCATCATCCTGTGTGGGTACGAGGTGCTGAAGGAGGCCCTCCATAGGGACTTTGGGATGGGGAAGAAGAGCATTGAGAAGCTAATTTAGGTTGAGACTCAGTGTCTGGTGGAGGCTCTGTAGAAATCCCAGGGTAAGCACTAGTCAGGACAGGGGGTGGAATGACAGACAGGGGTGGGTGAGATGCGGACACAGAGGGAGGAGAGAACATGACATGGAGAAGGATCCAGATACAGTCACAGAGAGGTGCAGGAACAGGTTTAGAGGCAGAGAAAAAGAAAAAGAATGAGAAAGACAAAAAAGAGACTAGGAAGGAGAGAAGGAGAATAGGAGAAAGCAGAGGAGAGAGGGAGAGAGAGAGAGAGAGAGAGAGAGAGAGAGAGAGAGAGAGAGAGAGAGAGAGAAGGCAAAAGAAAGAAAACCTGGGTATGCTGAGAAAGATAAATCATCAGTGCCAAACCAGTATTATATGAAATGCTGAAGGGTATTCTTTAAGAAGAGGAAGAAGAAGAAAAAGGTAAAGACAAAATTTATGAACAACAAAGTGACAACAAATACATATCTATCAACAAGTGAATCTAAAAATCAAGTGAATAAAAAGTCTGATGAACAGAATAAACTGGTGAATATAATAGAATCAGGGGCATAAAAAGGGAGTGGACTGACAATTCTCAGGGGGAAAGAGTGTGGGGGTGTGTGGAAAGAGACTGGATAAAAATCATACACCTATAGATGAGGATAGAGGGGTGTGGGGTAAAGGCGGGGGGGGGGGACTGGGGAAAGGGGGCTATGAGAGGAAAAGAGAGGAACAACTGTAATAATCTGAACAATAAAGATTTATTAGAAAATAAATAAATAAATAAATAAATAAATAAATAAATAAATAATAGATGTCTGATCATACACTGTCTTGTAGAGCTGAGACAAGGGAAGCCCAGGAGGTAGGGGGCAGGCCTAAGGCCCCGCAGAAAGTCATGGCCTGTATTATTCAGGATAGGCTAACCTAAGATAAACAGCTTGAATGTCTCAACAGCTTAAAGCAAAAATAAAATAAAATAAATAATAATAATAATAATAACAATAGTTATAATAATAATTTTATGCTCATGGAAATATCCATTTAACTTCCATAGAAATGGGGGCTACTGAGACTTGATCCTGACACATGCAGAAACTGGAAAGCAACATAACACATCAGGGCTACCTCATTTTATTTATTTATTTCTTATCCAATCTGACACTCTATGTCTTTTGATTGGAGCATTTAATCCATTTACATTTAAGGTTATTATTGATAGGTACTCATTTGACAGGGCTACCTCATTTTAATGGCCAAAACAAGGCCCATCCAAGATCAACACGGCAGAGACGTTCATGCACCCAAAGGTGTGCTGTGGATATTTATGCACTTTACCACACTGCACTGGGCAGCTCCTGGCCCCTCCTTTGGACTGCAGGGCAACAGGATGCAGTCCAAAGTGTGGCCCATCCCAGGGACATGTTTGTGCCCTCCCTTAGTTATGCCAGTGGACAACCTGTGTTAAAGTTAATAATGGATAATAAAGTCAACAAAACACTCCATATCTATGGGACACTTTGTGAAATTTGACCCCATCTTGCAGGGAGATATGAGTGGGGGATATGAGAAGCAAAAAGATGGGGGTGATGATGGGAGAAAGTGCTATTCAAAATTCTTATCAAGCATGATGTGGCCAATCAGAACTGCCACTGGTTGGTGCAAGATCTGGGTCTGGGAGGCTTCCCTGTTAGTTGCTGATTGTGGGCAGGTGGGGTACATGCAGGAGGGACCAAGGTGGCCAGACCACTGTACCATTCAGAAGCTTAGAGCAATGACTATGCAACAATTGTCTAGAAGTAGTTCAATATTTTAACAGCCAAGAAGGGCACTGGTGCCCACCTACTGCATATCCCTCTAGGACATTTTATCATAAATTGGCTTAGTTGGGAACATACTTAACCAGAGACACAGAAAAAGACAGAGACAGCAAACAGAGACCAAGAGAGACAGAGGAGGGCATGGAAGGGGATTGGCTGAGAGGAGGTGGGGACTGGAACAAACTCATAAACACACACACACACACACACACACACACATACACACACACACACACACTCACACGCACACGCACACATACACACACACTGTTGTTGGTATTGAGGACAAGAACAGGAACAGATGTA